AAATAAAACTTCATCAAACACCTACATATTTGAAACTACTTAATACAAATAGCATGGTTCTCATAAAAAGGTAGAGTCTTGACTGTTCAAATTTTTATTAATAAAATAAATTACCCTAATTTTCTTTTTTTTTTTTTAAAAAAAAGATTTTTATTTGTCAGAGAGAGAGAGAGAGAGCGCACACACAAGCAGGGGGACCGGCAGGCAGAGGGAAAAAGCAGGCTCCTTGCTGAACAGGGAGCCCAACACAGGACTCGATCCCAGGACCCTGGGATCATGACCTGAGCTGAAGGCAGACGCTTAACCAACTGAACCACCCAGGCATCCCTAAAAAATTTTTATATACTTATTCTTACCTGTATGGCTTCATCCAGGAGGAAGATGGCATCGTTCATTAGCAGGTTAAGAAAGCGGAGGAAAAGCGGGGGATTCATGGCTTCTAAATTCTTAGAGGCATAGTCAGCCAAATCCTGTAAGTCCCAGCCCAAGACACAACCATTTTAGTACTGAACCACAACTCACTGGGGCTTATCTGCAGTAAAACTCAGAGAACTCAGCTTTGGCTTCACCAAAAGCTCTCTCACCTTAATGCTCTCTCGATAGGTACCTGTTCCCCACATGTACCTTAGGATGGGATACATGGGACGTCGGTAATTAAACTTCTGTTCAAATTGATGGGGGTCTCCTGGAATAGGGTAAGAGCAAAAACCCAGCAAAGGTGGTGCTACTAGAGAAAGAGTAAGAGCTTATGCCTGTGGAGCCATTTTCTTTGATTCTGAATGTGTCAAGACTACTGACAAGATCTGCCCTGGGAGTTTACAAAGGCCCAGAGTGACAGCCAAGTGTTTACTTATTTCCTTACTGACAGAACAAGAGGGAGACAGACATAAAAGATACTGCATGCAGAAAAGGACAAGAACTAAGTTGTACCCTAAAAGCCAGGGGAGACAAATGCTTCCATATCCAAACGTAGAGTACTTATCAGACTTTGAATGAGGCCTCTGAACTGGCCATTGTGGCAGTGACAGCCGTGTGCTGAACGGGATACTAAGTAACCTCCATATTCTTCATAGATAACATCCCAGCTGCGAAACGAACTGGTTCTTAGTTACTCTGAAAAATCAGGTCAGCGTCTAAAAACCTGAGGCTTATACTGTTTTGACCAATCAAAGGAACGAACCACAACATCTCTGTAGCTTGGGTCATATAATGAAAGAAGATCATGGGATCTGGAGTCAGAAGATCTAGGTTTTCCTTTTGGCTCCACTTAATTCAAGTCTCTTAACATTTTTTAACTTCTACTTCCTCAGAAATAAAACAGGAATTATAATACATCCTGTACCATTGCATGTAAAGGGTTGAAATGGTCATATAATAACTGCAGTGACTTGTGTGACTACATATGTATTATGAAGATTTACATGCACTATCTCATTAGTCGTCACTTCAACCCATTTTATAGATGAGGACACTAAGGCTCAGAGGTAAGTGACAAAACCAAAATCCAAATAGGAAAGGCACTCAGTACAATGTTAAATGTCTCTTTGAATGTTAATTGTATTTATCACCGGATGGCAGGACAACTTTTATTTATTTAGAACATCTCTTTTAAAAGGGGTCTTAAATAAGTGCCTAACATATATTGTTCACTGCTTGAGATGGGGTACAGTTTTGATCTCATGGTGGTGAGTTTGAGCCCCATGTTGGGGATAGAGTTTACTTAAAAAAAAAGAAAAAAGAACTGTCCCACTATTCTGCAATTTTGAGGCAGATAATAAATACCTGGGGTCGGGACGGCTGGGTGACTCAGTTGGTTAAGCATCCGACTCTTGATATCGGCTCAGGTCACGATCTCAGGGTTATGAGACTGAGCTCTGCATTGGGCTCCACACTGGGCATGGAGCCTCCTTATGATTCACCCTCTACCTCTTCCCCTGCCCCTTCCCCCCACTAAAAAAAAAAAAAAAAAAAAAGACCTGGGTTGTGATCGAACAGGCTACTTAGCTGGAGCTTGATTAAATCAAGCATATAATTAGAGTATGTGTTTTTTTTTTTAAGATTTTATTTATTTAATAAATAAATAAAGGAGAGGGAGAGAGAGAAAGAGAGCGCACGAGTGGAGGGAGGGGCAGAAGGAGAGGGAGAAGCTGACACGGGCCTCCATCCCAGGACCCTGAGCCAAAGTCAGCCGCTTAAACCAAATGAGCCACCCAGGCGCACCCCCTTGTTTTTCTTTTTGAGGTGAGACAGAATTGACCTGATTCTACCACTTAGTTGTATGACACAGACAAATTATCTTTTCGGGCATTCACGTCCTTATATGTACAACAGGGATAATACAGTAAAACTTGCCAGATGGTGACAAATTAATGAAACAATGTTAGAAAAGCACTTGGCATCAAGGCCGGCACATAGCAGATACTCAATAAATGATGGCTGCTGGCATTTTTCTGACATTAAATACTGATCAAGCTAGGAGACTCCACTAGTATCTGCTTCTCAGTTCTGGACTGCTTTACCTGTAAACTCAATGTCCACAAAGACCTTGATCAGAGCTTCTGCAAGGTGGGGTGCATAGGGAAAGTTGCAGAACACACGTTTCCGGTGGAACACACTGGATACCAAGGGATTTGGAGTCTGGTCCAGGTGGGGCATCACTGCTTCCAACACCTCAGCCAGTTTGGCCCTTAGGTGGGGATTCTTCATCCTGCAAAAAGTGCAGAAAGCAAGCTGAGTAGGTAGAAAACTCAACTCTCAAATTCATGACTATTTTCTCCACATGAGGAGCCAAAACACCCTATACCACTGTTGGAGGAGAAAACAGGATTCTGTAGTGTCAAGGCTGTCAATTTCTGGGGGATGATGCAGGGGACAACATCATTCAACTTTTGAGATCACAGCCTACCAAGTATGAGAATGAATACTCAAGTTTCTATTTAATGCTTAGCCATTCTGTTTACTTCTCTACAATAATCCATTGTTTATTGCTTACATTCCCTGACCGTTTCACTGAGGATAAACTTGCCTTTCTAAGCTTCCTGAGGCCCAGGGTCAGGATGCAGTTTTTTTACGTTACTTACGCTGCACACCACATGTGCCTAATAAATACCAGTTGACTCATGATTTCCCACTGGGTCTGCTCAGCTCAGTGAAGGATTGGCTTCTACCTACTTCTCACTGACATGGCTCAGGGGATTGTACATCATTTTGCAGCAAATCTTCACTCATGCACACATGGTTTCCTTTGGCCTAGACACCAAAAACATCAGAGAAGCAACTCCAAAGGTCAGTGGGCGTCTTTCTCTGAGAAAGGGGAGTAGAAGCTATGAATGAAAAGATGAGATTAGAAAGCATTTACCTGTGTTTACTGCTCATGCAACTCAGAACGTTAAGAGTAAACTTTGTGACCCTACAATTGTCAGATCATCAGAACTGGCTGCCACTGGTAAGGCTTCTGGCATTAAGGTAACTATTTTAACCAGCCACTACCAGTGGAATTCCCATCGGGTCTCTTACACGCAGGTTCAGATTGTTTGTGGGCAAAGTCCTTGGCTTGTTATGCCTCTGAAGAGGGGGATTTCTGGCTACCCTTAAGGGCGGTCAGGTGATTCATTAGTGTTAACACAACTTCTGAAGGCAAGCCCTTATGATTCAGGCTTGGTTTAGAAGTCTTCTGAATGCTCTGCACCTCTAAATGCTGTCAGAGCCAAGCTTTCAACACCTCACCTTTCTATGCTTCCAGTGAAAATTGTGATAAAGTGAAGAACATGTTCTAGGGAGTCCGCTGATGTCTCCAAGATGTCATCGGCAAAGCGGCGGAGAAAAATGAGGAAATCACCCAAGTTATCTGCAAAAAATTCTGGAAAACAGACAAACAAACCCATTCACTGCAATTAGTGAAACATCTGACTTTCTGTACTAAGCAATATTGAAATTCCTCCCTTTTGCTCTACCTAATAAAGATTAAAAAATCCGAAATGTCTTGTAGGTACTAGGAATGGTGACAAGTTCATAAATGTAGATTCTCCTTTAAAGGTAAGTCAATTTTTATTTCTATCCAAGTCAGTATGAAAATAGCAGAGACACAAAATACTGTTCACACACTAGTGCAACTTAAGAAGGTACACTGATACACATTCTTTTCACAGTCAAGGTTAACTGTGCATTAAATAACTCTTTAGATGGATAAAGAATCTTCAACAAAGATGAATACATTAGATGACTCTGGTCATCAGTCTCCAGGATGGTCCTCCAATTGTCTTTGCTTCCTGGTATTCATGCCTTTGTGTGTCCCTTCCTGCACTCTTCCAGGGTAGAGGCATACAGAAGCAATGGTATATCATTTCCATGGTGAAGACATAGAAGCCTATAGCTTCCATTTTGGTGGCTTGCTCTCAAGGAAGCCAGCTGCCATACCATGAGTAGTACTAAGGCGAGACCTGCGTCGCCTGGAAAAGAGGCCAGTAAGCAACTGAGGTCGGCCAACAACCACATGACCTGGCTTGTAAGCAGATCCTCCAGTTCTGGTCGAGTCCTCAGATTCCTGTGCCCCTGACTGACAGCTCGCCTGCAACCGCATGAAAGACCCAGAGGCAGAACCATGTAGCCGAGCCACTCCTGGATTCCTGACCCACAGAAACTGTGTGAGACAACGTTTGTTTTAATGTGCTACGCTTTAGGATGATCTGTTACTTAGCAATAGATGACCAATACAGTGATCAAGAACATATAATCTGATTTTGAAGGACAGTATCTGCCAACTCCTCACTGACAAACCTACATACATGACCTCCTCAACCAACAGGGGATGATAATATTTTTTCTCCCTAAAGAATAGCACAGGGAGAGTTGGACAGATAAATTTAGAAGATGAACAATGAAGACAAAATTAATGCAAAACTAACAGCTCTGAAAACCCTGGCTGCACTTAGTCCTTTGAAGACTATTTTCTGATACACACAGAAGTGGGGACACAAGGCTGAGGAAAAAGCTGTTGGTTCTCCCATACTCTGACCGGTAGATACTGTCTATAAATTTGAGTTGTTTCTCCAAAAACAGTTGAATGATAACTAAGGAAGGGTACTCTGAGGATTAAACTTCCAAAGTGACCCAGTTAAACTTAGATAGCTATAAATAGGCAGTTCCCAAGGAAGAGCCTGCTTACCTGGCACATAAGCCAAAGAGCTGTAGCCGTCTGGCAGAGGAAAAGTTAGCTCGATTGGCTGTGAGCCCTCATTGCCTAAGGCCAGCTGAACGAGTAGAACAGCCATGGACACCTGCAAGTTGAGACAGTTCTGTAGCATCTGGGGCTCCGTCATGGCAGTCTTGGTGGAAAGATAGATGGTCATCAGTCGTTCAAACTGCTCACGGAGGTTGTCAGCAGCAGGGCTAGAGCTCTGCTGAGCATCCCGCCAGGCAACCTGCAGCCGATGCAGATTTTGGTTGATTTTGACCATCTGATCATGCAACCTGCCCCCAAGAAAGCACAAGAGACTGGGTTAGGAGGCTCATATAGGACAGTTGAGTACAGATCGTTCCAGAAAAACAAATCTTCATTTATTTATTCTAGTATTCTCTTTTAGGATATAGGGGGCTGCAATTGTGGTGACACAGAAGGCACTCACTTATGGACAGGACTGGGGCAGGGGTCATAGCACCGGGCAAATGTTACCAAGTATTTGACATAAATGACGCTAACTACAAATAGCAGCCTTCAGCTGAAACGCACCATCCAAAGAACAGTAGCTTGGTTAAGCAGGGTGTAGACTGGGCTGTTACCATGTAAAATAAATAACGATTAGACAAATTACAAAAAGAGCCCAGCAGGATAGTTTGACACTGCACAGTTGCAATGTTTGTACTTGGATGTGGTTATATGGACAGTCTTTCTACAGTTAGTTAAGAACAAAAGCTGGAGAAAAAGGACTCTAAGTTAGTAACGACCACATATAAACTGGTAGCCACCTGGGCTGCAACCTAAGAAACAGCTTCCAGTCCTCTGTTGTTCAATATAAAATTACATTATTCTTCACAAAGGGCCAGCGAAATGTTCTCTAATGAAAGGAAGCCCCGTAATTCAATGTTACAGATAGTTGTCTCTATGGATACAGTCCAAAGTCATCTTCTTTGGCCCTGTAGACAATGTCTAGGGTTAGCTAGCCAGTATGGGAGAATAGATGACATTCATTTCTATGTCTGAGTGTCAGTGGTTGAACAGGTTAAACATATGCTGCATTATCTATTGTCTCATTTAAAATGTCAATGACCGGGATAGAAAAACTCCCTAATAAAGATATTTTTCTAGAAACTTGCCGAGTTTTAAAAAATGCTCTGTGCCAATGTAAGTATCCTGAGAAGATATTAAAAACTGCTATCCTCAGTACCTCTTCCTAAGGACTGTAACGACTTTATTTCTAAATGCAGTCATAATCAACTAAACCAGAGGAGGGAAAAATCACAGAATGGTGTTTGACCAGCCAGAACCAGAACCGTTTTTGGAAGTCATACACTCTAGTTCTTAAATTTTCACACTCCAGAATCCTTTTGATCTTTGATACATAAATCTTTTGTGGTCCTACTGATCTTATCGGGAATCCCTGATGAACATTTCTTCTTTTTTTTAATTTATTCTTTAAGGAGAGAGTGAGAGTGCGTGCACGTGTCTCGAGTCCCAAACATTTCTTTAATTTTGTCTCTATACCATAAAGTAGAGGTTCATCTTTTTTTCATCAGGAGTAGTAAGTAATCAAAATTCAAGAGCAGAAAGTGAAAAGTTAAAACAATTCCCCTTTCACAGATTACAATAGGAAGATAGTGATTTAAAAATTTGCAAGTTTAGGGGTGCCTGGGTAGCTTAGTTGGTTAAGTGTCTGCCTTTGGCTCAGGTCATAATCCCAGGGTCCTGGGATTGAGCCCCTCATCAGGCTCCCCACTTAGCGGGGAGCCTGCCTCTCCCTCTCCCACTCCCCCTGCTTGTGCTCTCTCTCCATCAAGTAAATAAATAAAATCTTTGAAAAAATTTTTTTTCAAGTTTAGGGGTGCCTGGGTGGCTCAGTTGGTTAAGAGTCTGACTCTTGATTTTGGCTCCAGTCATGCATGGCTGTGGGATCGAGCCCCGAGTCAGGCTCTGTGCTCAGAGGGGAGTCTGCTTGAGGATTCTCTCTCTCTGCCCCTCCCCCTGCATGCATGTGTGCTCTGTCTCTCTCTCTAAAATAATCTTCAAAAAAAATTTATGTGTTTAGAGAACAATACTAGTGTATTTATTTATTTATTTTTTAAACTTTTTATTTATTTATTCATGAGAGACAGAGAGAGAGAGAGAGGCAGAGGGAGAAGCAGGCCCCCAAGGAGCAGGGAGCCTGATGCGGGACTCGATCCCAGGACCCTGGGATCATGACCTGAGCCGAAGGCAGACGCCCAACCATCTGAGCCACCCAGGCGCCTAATACTAGTGTATTTAATTTTATGAAGTGTAGCAGGTCAAAAATGAAAAGGAAATTCAGTTATCTGGACAAAGGCAATTCATGTAAACATGATTAAGTGAATACAAAACTCCGTTCCCATTAGATCCTAACGGGAGCCTTCAGAATAAAGTGAGACTCACTTTCAACCTTCTGGTTCTTAATTCCACAAAACAGTTCTTTTTGAATGACATCAGAGCAGTTACCTGTGAAATCCTAAGTATAAGGTATACTCAGTCAGGACAAGGTTCTCTGTCACAAGGTTGTAGTTCTGGGGGAACTTTGGCTCCTGCACAGCGGGGATCAAACAAGTCTCTTTGTCCAAACCTCAAAGAAAGTAAAAGGAACAGTAAATGACTCACCACAGACTTCTGTCCTGGGTCTCCAGTGTCCCCTTACTCTAGCTTCACTTCATACTGCTACCAGTGAGAGCTTTTTTTTTTTACTAATTTCCTTTTAAAAACAAATGTAGAAAACACTGTGGATGTTGCCAAGTGATAGACAGTGGATCATCTGTATCTATTTGTGCTCTTCCAGATTTATTTCCTTTTGACCATGTATTGCTTTTAGGATTAGAAGAGTCATAAAACTGGAAATACACCAAAATTAAGAGGGATTCATTTTTTTTTTTTTTTAACGAGTGATTCATTTTGAGTGACTTATTTTCACTTCTCTGCATTGTTCGAGTTTTCTCCAAACTGGCCCCAATATTCTTCCTCCCTAGACTCATTTCCTGCCAATTCCCATATCCCTTTCCCACCTAGCTCTCCCCCTGAATTTCTCACTGTTCTCCAATCAAGCCTTCCACAGCTTTGTACCTTTATACTTTAAACCCAACTCATCTCTCAAGACTCGGCTGCAAAGACTTCCAACTTCTGTAGAATTTATTATTCACTCTCTCCTCTGTGCTCCCATAGTTTAGCCCTATACCATATTATGATTCTCTGTTAATATATCTTTCTTCTGGAGGCTGAGTTAAAAGACAAAGCAGGGACTGTGCTTTATTTTTAGAAAGAATGAATCAATCAATACCTAAAGGTTGCTAAATTCAGAAAGATCTCACAAAGGCACAACATCTAAAAGCTACCAGTTTTTATAGACGTCTGTCTTTTTAAAATTTATACTAGCTTTTCTTTTTGCCTCGTCTTCTTTGAGAAAGAGGCACCTTTGTGAAAAAGGATAAAGGTGAATGCCTTAGATGTTACACATACACGTGCAAGCACGCGCACACACACACCATCTTGAGAAGGCCAGTTCCCCCCTACCTCTCATGTGCACATTTTTAATTTTTCGTTCTTCATCATTCAACTCCTTCAGGGCACAGTAAGTGGGGTTAAAGGTGAGGAGCCGAGAGGATCTGGGTTTGCAAAACGGCTGGCATAGCTTCAGGAGAGCAGCACCCAGATTCAGAAAGAAGGCATCCGAGGCATACATTTGGAAGAAGATTTCTGGCATCTGATTGGCCCAAATCTTGGTGCGGCCTGCGTTTGCATGCAAACAGTTTCCAAGCCAGGACAAGATACAGTGTTTGGTTTCTGGAGAGAGCTGGAGTAAGTTCTTCAGCATCTGGTAGATCTTTTCATGGAACTGAGCCATGAACTGTTTAACCAGAAAACAGAACCACAGAACATTCCAGTTTCACAATCCTCATATTTGTTACTCCCAAACCTTAGCCACTGGCAATTTCCAAAAATATTTTCATCCTAATTTTATACCCCAGTTCTAATTAAAAAAAAAAAAAATTTCTGGGCACTTAGGAGAGATTCCCTGATGAGCTGCCAAACTACAGATAGCATTTACATAGCTTTAGAGCAGGGGTCAGTAAACTGCAAAGGGCCAGATGATCAATATTTTCAGCTTTGCAAGCTATACACTGACTGTGGCAACTATTCAACTCTACCACCGTGGCATGAAACCAAGCCATAAACAACATGTGTATGAATGGGCATGGCTGTGTTCAATAGAACTATTTACCAAAACAGGTGGCAGGCCGGATCTGGCCACTGCAGTAATTTGCCAATCCCTGCCTTAGAGTTGTGATGATGGGAGATTGAGACCATCCCCAATTCAACCACTTACTGCCTCATGTTGGCCAGACCTCTGCTAGAATTTACACTAAGAAGCCCAAATGGAGAGGACGTTGGTGGAAGGAAGGAAAGGAAAAAAAATTCGGTTTATAAGCTGGAGTTCATATGGAAGATTTTAGGAGCCCAGGTTATAAGAAACAGCTTGGTGATGACAGCGAGGACTGAGGGGAAGTGGCTGTGCCACAGCACAGGGCAGAGAGGAGCAGCAGCTTACTCTTAAACCGCGCGCTGGCTTCTCCTCTGCCCTGAGCCTGTGCTGAAAAGAGGACAATTTCTTTACGTGATTATGGTAGAAAGCCAAGCAGATCGATGTGTTTCCCCAAAGAGGCTCAAGCAGCCTTATCTGCATCTGCTTCCCGAGGAAACGCGACTTCATCTAAGATTAGGGGGCTGGGAGACAGTTCCACCTGATGGATGTTGGCCTCTTGCACTTTGATCTCCTGGGGACTGGAACGAGATGGATTCAGGAAGTAGCCATGATTTTCTACTACACCTGGAGTCTTTAATAAGCAGGAGATATTCAGGATTACACCCAGCAAGGTCTTCTGGTACATCTGCCCATTGCCAGGGTCCTTGGGCTGAATGTACTCTACAAAAACCTACAGAAGAAAACAAGTCCTACTTACTAGTCTGTATGAGGAGGGAAGGGTGGTGGGGTGAAGGGATCTCAAAGAGTTAAGTCTATACGACAACAAATGTATCTTTCTTTTATTCAACAGGTAATATGAGAGCACCCTCAGGATAGGTTATTAAATCACCAGCTCAAATGAATACGTAACACCTTTCAAACCTACCTTTGCCATATCCTTCTGCCTAGTGAAATAGAGAAGAATATCCAGATATGCATAAAACAGGATCTGACAGAGTTCTAGATCTTTTATTCGGCCCAATAAAATATCAAACACTGGAATCATGACTTCTGGAAATGTGCGAACTTCCTCATCCAATATCAAGGCTTCAATGACCTCTTCCAGAAACTCAGTTACATCTTCAAAATCTAACAGATGACGAACGAGAGGAAAAGAAGCCCACAGCGATTTTTTTTTTACATCTTTTTTTTTTTTAATTTGACAGAGAGAGACACAGCGAGAGAGGAAACACAAGCAGGGGGAGTGGGAGAGGGAGAAGCAAGCTTCCCGCGGAGCAGGGAGCCCGATGTGGGGCTCGGTCCCAGGACCTGGGATCATGACCTGAGCCGAAGGCAGACGCTTAATGACTGAGCCACCCAGGCGCCCCGCCCATAGCGATTTTTATATGCTTTTACATACAGGCTCCTTACTCTTCTCACATTCTGATAATTCTACTGGTATTCAACCCCAAAGGTCAAGATATGAGCTCTCTTCCTTAATTTATACTTCTGGAACCACAGTGGCTCTGAGGCTTTCTAATGCAATTAAAGGAATTTTAAATTTGGAAATCAAAATGTAGAAACTCAGAGATCTTGCTTATGTACTCACGGGCTCCTTGGATGGCTTCCAACATCAAATCTACCAGTTGCTCATGGATGTTCTGGTCAACATAGATCTCTGGGGTGAGGAGTACTGTTCGGGTATTGGACACAGTGAGGTTCCTGCATTGCACCGCAAAGGGGAGCAGGTTCTCTGGAACTTTGGTAATCTGGAAACAGAACGCAGAAGAGAGGGGAGAGCCTAGCTCTATGACCTGAACAAGGGTGAACACAGCAAATAGAATGAAAAGACAATGTACCCCAAAACAGTGCTGCTATCCTGTGGATGCTTAAAAATTCATAAGGGTTCATTCTTTGGTGTAAGGAGTCACCCACCTGCTAGAATTCTAATCCTGGAAGTGACCAAGCTTAGCTCACTCCTATTTATACCTCAGTGGAAATGAGTTTATCACACTCTTTTTTTCCCCCTCCCCTGACCTTTTCTAAGAGTATGACTTTTTAGGGTTTGTAGGAGAACAGGAGGCCCTGGTTAAATGGGGAAAGGAATAGACCCCAAGCCACAGAAAGAACAGACGAAAATTTCTGACAACTCATAGTGCCTCTCATATCTAGTTTCTGACATATTATGATGTATATAAACTGACATAAAAGACACTCATCCAACTCTCTGGCTTACATGTTAAAGTCAAACCCAAGAGTACTACACAGTTCTCAATGGGGATTATTCCTTTACCTCTTCTTTAGCTCTTTGGAAGCAGGAATAAAGGTAACAAAAAATGTGCCTCTCCCCTGCATCTCGATCAGCAGAGAGATTCAACGTTGAAGAAGAAGTCATGTTAATCAAGTGGTTGCCTGGGTCCTGAAGTAGTAAGCGAGCGAAGATAGCCTTTAAGAAAAGCAAACAAACAAAACACTAAACCACTGCAAAGTTAATCTTAGGATATCAAGATGTAGAAGGTCATTCTGACACAGGTTACTGCGAGAGTCACAGGATGTAGAGTGAACGGGTAATATAAGACCCCTCTCTTACTACTTTAGAAAATACTAGGTACATAAATATAAGTGTATATGCGTTGATCCTTGAACAATATGGGTTGGACATGGATTTTTTTCAGTAAATACAGTAAATTTAAATTCAGTAAATAAATTTTATTCAGTAAATACATGTAAATGTATTTTTTCTTGCTTCTAATTTTCTTCATAACATTTTCTTTACCCTAGCTGACTTCATTGTTATCCATAAGGCTTCCTGTCAACAGTAGGCTATTAGTTAAATTTTTGGAGAGTCACAAGTTATGTGTGGATTTTCGACTGCCCCTAACCCCCACATTGTCCAAGGGTCACCTGTACAATTATCCCAAATAGAGCTCAAGCATCTGGTATAGCCCTAGCACAGAGTAAGCACTAAAACAGTATTTATGGAATGGTGTGGAGAATTAGCGATTGAACTTATACATGAAATTTACTCCTCTGTGTGACTGCTGGCCTTACTCAGACTTATATAATTTAAACATATAAAGTTAAACTACAAGTTGTCAAGTGTCTGTCCTACCAAAGTTTTATTCCTTTAATGTTAATTAGGCACTTATAAGGTAAAACACACTGTTTTGATTTTGGGAAAGATACAAAGACACGGGCCTTGCCCTTGAGAACTTAAGGGTCTGATAGGGGAGATGAGACAGGTATAAAAAAAGCCAGTACATGTGACAGAAGGTGACAGCTGCCATCCGAGAGGCACAGATAGATCACTCCAGGAATTCAGATATGTGGCCATGGTAAATGAGAAGATCTCCAAGGAGGAACACCAAAGACAAAGTTAAGAGACGGAATTATGTAAGCAAAGTCATGGTTGGAAAAACGTGAGCAGAGTTCAGCTGCATGGCTAGTTTGTGCTGAAGGCACCCCAAAGGAACATCAGAAATGGTACCTGCTCAACATTGTTCATATCAAGCCAGTCTTGATCTTCCAGGTCTACTGCCATTTCTTCCAAATACACACAACGACTGGGGATGCCATTCCCACTTTTCAAGCTGGGGTCACCTGGGAAATGGTTTTAATCTGGTAGGTTAAGGATAATGCTTCTGTCTTATATAGACAACTGATCTTGACAGCATTTCTCTTGAACTCCAAGTCTGACTCAGGTAGTATCAGGATAATCTTGACATACAAAGCAGTATCTAAAGACTTAAATCTTTTCAAAGAGTCAAAGAGCATCTCAGGTTTTGTTATAAACATAACATCATGAATTCCAGGCATCAGCACCTATTTTTTTTAACTACAGATAGGACACAGAGAGAAAACACTATCTGACACCTCGTGGGGCTTCTGTCTAAATGTTTAGGTCACCTCTGAGAAGAAAAAGGATTTGGCTACCACTCGCATTTCCCTTTTAAGGTGGTAAAGGCAAGGAGCTATATGGTCCAGTCTGTACCAAAATGATAATGAAAGCTATACCTTGTCTAAATATTATTTTTAGGTCACATCAAAAGCTTCACTAAACTATCGAACCTGTGTTCTAGGGAATACAGTGGGTTTGTTTAACCATTAGATACAATAAGTTTCTAAGAACAAGTTCCTAGCCCAAGCAGGAAGGGAAGAGTAATGAATAGACTGGCTCCAAGTCTGTAACTCACTGTTGTCCAGAGTAATGAGGAAGATCCTTTGGATCATGTGATTGATGTTGAGTTGTTCACATATTTCCTGCTGTGAACGGAAGGAGCGGCTAATCTCAGCCACAGAGTAATCAAATTCATCCAGGCTTTCTGACACACTATTATCCGAGTCATCTGGGCTAGCTGGGAGTTCATCTGCCAGAAAATGTAAGCCATTAACAGTTAAACTCCTCTCTTTAAGAGAGAACCAAGTATACTATCAAAAATGATAAATGTTATCAAGAGAAAAATAATTCTGGATGGGAAACAAGTTAATCATCTAATTAGTGAACATCTCAAGTCAGGCAACATCTTTTTTTTTTTAAAAATTGAGGTATAATGGGGCGCCTGGGTGGCTCAGTCATTAAGCGTCTGCCTTTGGCTCAGGTCATGGTCCCAGGGTCCTGGGATCAAGCCCCACGTCGGGCTCCCTGCTCAGTGGGAAGCCTGCTTCTCCCTCTCCCCCTGCTTGTGCTCTCTCTGTCAAATAAATAAATAAAATCTTAAAAAAAAATAAAAAAATAAAAAAAATTGAGGTATAACATATAAAAAATGACGTATAACATCATATTAGTTTCAGGTATACAACATAATGATTTGGTATTTATATATATTGCAAAATGGTCAACAAAATAATTCTACTTAACATCTGTCACCATACAGTTATAAATATTGTTTTCTCTTGTGAATAGAACTTTTAAGATCTACTTCTTAGTAACTTTCAAACATGCAATACAGTATTATTAACAACAGTCACCATGCTATTCATTATATCCCTATGGCTTATTTATTTATTTGTTTATTTTATTTTTTTAAACTTTTTATTTATTTATTCATGAGACAGAGAGAGAGAGAGGGGGGCAGAGGGAGAAGCAGGCTCCCAAGGAGCAGGGAGCCTGATGCGGGACTCGATCCCAGGACCCTGGGATCATGACCTGAGCCGAAGGCAGACGCTTAACCATCTGAGCCACCCAGGCGCCCGGCTTATTTATTTTATAACTCAAGTTTGATCCTTTTGATCCCCTGTACCTACCCCACTCCGGGCAACCACAAATCTGTTCTCTGTATCTATGAGCGTTCTTTCTCTCTTTTTTAGGTATCACCTATAACAGAGAACATTTGTTTGTATTTGTCTTTTTCTGTCTGACCTATTCCATTTCACACAGGTCCGTCCCTGTTGTTGTAAATGGCAATAATATTCCATTGTGTGTGTGTGTGTATGTGTATATCATATTTTCTTCATTCATTCATCCATCAACGGACATAGGTTGTTTCCATGTCTTGGCTATTATAAACAGTGCTACAACAAACACAGGGGTGCACAGATCTTTTCAAGTTAGCGTTTTTGTTTTCTTTGTATAGATACCCAGAAGTGGAATTGCTGGATTATATGGTAGTTCTATTTTTTAATTTTTGAAGAACCTCTATAATGTTTTCCATAGTGGCTGCACCAATTTATATTCTCACCAACAGTGCACCAGGATTCCCTTTTTTCCACATCCTTGCCAACACTTGTTATCTCTCGTCTTTTTGATAGTAGCCATTCTAACAGGTATGAGGAGATACTCATTGTGGTTTTTTTTTTTTTTAAAGATTTTTATTTATTTATTGAGAGCGAGAATGGTAGAGAGAGAGCATGAGAGGGAAGAAGGTCAGAGGGAGAAGCAGACTCCCTGCAGAGCAGGGAGCCCGATGTTGGACTCGATCCAGGGACTCCAGGATCATGACCTGAGCCGAAGGCAGTCTCTTAACCAACTGAGCCACCCAGGCACCCTCTCATTGTGGTTTTGATTTGCACTTCTTTGATGATGAGTGATACGGAGCACCTTTTAGTGTACCCGTTAGTCATCTGTATGTCTTCTTTGGAGAAACGTCTATATAGATCCTTTGCCCACTTTTTTTTTTAAGATTTTATTTATTTGTTTGAGAGAGAGAGAATGAGAGAGCGAGCACATGAGAGGGGGCAGGGTCAGAGGGAGAAGCAGACTCCCTGCGGAGCAGGGAGCCCAATGTTGGACTTGATCCAGGGACTCCAGAATCATGACCTGAGCCAAAGGCAGTCGCCCAACCAACTGAGCCACCCAGGCGCCCTCCTTTGCCCATTTTTAAACTGGATTATTTGTGTTTTTTTGCTATTGAATTGTATTAGGCAACATCTTATGTACAGGATTCTGAAATCCCTGGCTGGAAATCCTACCACATTTTACAAATCGAAAGTTTTATTCTTTCTGCTCATAATTAATTGTACCCCATATTACCAAAAATAGCAACATTATGTTCCCTACAGAATCTTAGCGAACAGAGAATTACCTACAATAGATCAATATGCCTTTAATTATTTTAAATATATGGCTTTTTCCTGATTTTAAAGAATACATATATCTGAATAATCCCAAACTGTATAGGAAAACGTTATGTAAAAAGTCTCCTCTGAACCAATTCCTTATGGACAACCATGTCAGTTAGCAAACGGTTCCAGATTTTTTTTTCCTACTGTGGTGCGAATGTTTATTGCTAGGATTTTCAGTTAAAAAAAAAAGAGAGGGATCATACTATATATACTGCCTTTCAGCTTGCTTTTTTTTTTTTTAAAGGTTTTATTTATTTATTTGACACACAGAGAGAGATAGCAAGAGAGAGGGAGAGAGCACAAGCAGGGGGAGCGGCAGGCAGAGGGAGAAGCAGGCTTCCTGCATGAGCAGGGAGCCTGATGTGGGGCTCGATCCCAGGACCGTGGGATCATGACCTGAGCTGAAGGCAGACGTTTAACCAACTGAGCCATCCAGGCGCCCCTCAGCTTGCTTTTTAAACTTACTCAGCACCAACATCCTTCTCTGTTATGTCATTTATAGGCCTACCTCATTCTTTGTAATAGCTGCACTTTATTGCATTGTATGCACACACACTGACTTGTGTAGCTACTTCTCAACTGATGAACATTTGGGCTGTTTCCAATTTTTCATGATTTCAAACACTACTGCACCGAATAGTACTTTTTGTACATCTGTGTATTTCTGTAAGGTAAATTTGTAGAAGCAGAATTGCTGAGTTAAAGAGCTTGCACATTTAAAAGTTAATGTATAGGGGCGCCTGGGTGGCTGAGTCGTTGGGCGTCTGCCTTTGGCTCGGGTCATGATCCCGGGGTCCTGGGATCGAGCCCTGCGTCTGGCTCTCTGCTCAGCAGAGAGTCTGCTTCTCCCTCTCCCTCTGCCTGCCTCTCTGCCTACTTGTGCTCTCTGTCAAATAAATAAATAAAATTAAAAAAACAAAACAAAACCCAGGCTTGCTATTATAACTGATGACATTAAAAAAAAAAAGTTAATGTATATTACCAAATTATCCTCAGAAAGACTGCTCTCATTTACAAGCCCCTCAGCAGTCTATGAGAGAGTACCTGTTTAAATCATCATAAATTTCATAAAAATCTAATTGTTGTTTTAATGGGCAGTGCTCCAATTATTATTGAGACAAAATTTTTAAAATCATTTGATTATTGTATATAAATTGTTCATCTGAATCTTTTCACCTCTAATTTGTTACTATTTTATTGATTGAATCCCTTTACTTTTTAAAAAAGCAACCTTGCCTTAGGAGATTGTAGGAGGAAAAGGGGAGTGAGGAATAGGAATTATAAGGAAATGGGAAAATATGATTTATGAGTATGTGGTTGGGGGAAATTTTGCTACATAGGTTCTTAGCTCCTATTGCTCTTGGGGTTCAGAGGAGAACTTAACCATATAGGAGTACAGTGACAGATGCTTGTCTTTCTGGCTGTCAGCAGACAGAGCTGCCTCTCTGAATGGAATTCAGGCTGAAGGAGTACAAGTGTGGTGTTCACTAGAAGCCACGTGAGTCTGCATCTGCTTCTCTCTATCTACAGTGATTATTCTGAAAGGCCAGGCAAAACTCTCGGAAGTTAAGAGTTGCTTTAGTGTGGTGAGTTTAGTCAATATGAAGCTCAACATAGGAGGCCGAAGGTTTTGGCAGAGTTCTAACTGCTGGTGGAAAACAGGTTAGACCTGGCGGCATGCTAAACTCAGCGTAAACAAACTAAAATAAGGAGAAGCCAAAATAGTAACAGGAGCGCATGTACCTGGTTTGTCCCACAGCTTGGTGCCTGCAACGTTCCCAACTCTAGCCAGCCTGAGGTCTGCTGACAGCCAGAAGGACAAGCATCTGTCACTCTACTCCTATAAGGTTAAGTTCTCCTCTGAACCCCGAGAGCGACAGGAGCTAAGAACCTATGTAGCAAAACTTCCCCCAACCACATATTCATAAATCATGTTTCCCCATTTTCTTTATTCCTATTCCTCACTCTCCCTTTCCTCCTACAATCTCCTACTGCAAGAATCTGGAAGAGATTTCAGAGACTGAGACCCAGAGCCGCCTCCTTCGATCACGGTAGAAAGCCAGGGTTACATATACTCCCCCCCTTGCTTCATCATCACCCCGTCCACTACTCATCTGTCTTGCCCTTACCTCCTTTTTATTCAGTCCTGAACAGAGAGCAAGGCTACAACTCAGCTGTGTATACCGACACTTTTGAAATAAACAAAAAGGTAAAATATAAACATTTCTCCTTTCAAAAACTACTATTATTCTCTTTGAAAGGAGAAGGGGAGTGATTTCTGGCTTGAAAGATTGTGACCACCCTCAGAAGACTAATAAATTCAAGAAACACCATCCTAATTCTTCTAGGCTATATGTCTTCTCACAGGAGGAAGTTAGACCCGATCTTAATTTTGGTCCTAGATGAGGAAAACCATTTTTCTGATTAGTGAGATATTCTGATTTTTTTTTTCACATTAAGGCAAAGGATCAGATTTTCTTACAAGTCTGTTCTAACAGCATTATGCTATGAAAGAGGCCACTCTATGGAATGGAAGAGGTATTTTGCTTGGGACTGACTCTGAAGCAGTGGGCTTAAGAACAAATTTCATTTAGGGGCGGCTGGGTGGCTCAGTCGTTAAGCGTCTGCCTTCAGCTCGGGCCATGATCCTGGGGTCCTGGGATTGAGCCCCACATCGGGCTCTCTGCTCAGTGGGAAGCCTGCTTCTCCCTCTCCCACTCCCCCTGCTTATGTTCCCTCTCTTGCTATGTCTCTGTCAAATAAATAAATAAAATCTTAAAAAAAAAAGAACAAATTTCATTTATGTGTCTACCAAAAAGCCAAAAAGCGTTTATAATTCTTCCTTTTACACATCTGCTTTCTACAGTTGCACGTAACCTGCTTTCTACACCTATGCCTACAATCTCAGTTTCCTATGTTAAAAAGATTTATTTAAATATCTTTTGCTGGGTGATTTTTAAAATAAACAGCTCGACAGCACTGGGATCACGACTAACATCTGTTACTACAGAACCACCTGCTATCTGGTCTCTCTTTATGCAGCAGGGAGGAGAGGACCCGAAAACAAAACAAAGAAGGAAAATGAACAAAAACCCCAATTTATGCCCTAAATGAACAAAAAAACCGACCTGTGCCCCCAGGTCGATTCCAACTGCAATTACGGACCCTAAGAAGACTTCACTTGGGAAGACCCCATTCTAGGTCATCTCCTCCGCTGCTCCTGGGTCCCCTACTTACCAGACTGCTGCTTCAGCTGCTCTTTTTGGATTGCTGCAAACTGCTTGGCATCAGCCAGGGAGCCAAAAAGAGCAGCAAAGGGGTTACTTGAGATGTTGTTGTTATTCTCCTGGTCTGTCATTTCACTTTAAAGTATCCTCCATCCAGACCTGGGGGGGAGGGGCTGCAGAGAGGACAGGTATCAGACACGGAGGGGCAGGTAACACAACAGCTGGGATTAGACCCACAGTCGTCGGTTCCTTCCCCATTTCTCGAACACAATACATGTAAAAAGGCTTTGGGTAAGACCTTCCAATTCCTGTTCCAAGATTCAAGGCATTTTTGGCAAAATGGTTATGAACCCACCAACTGGATAAGTTGGCTTGATTTGGGGGCAGCTAAAACCAAAAAGCTTTAAAAATGTTCAAGCTGGAATGCATTTATCTGTTGACACGTTTCTATTTGCCATACCTTTAAAAAATAGGTTAAGCAGAATTACTGAAGTCAATGAGGAAACTCATCTATTCATTATTATAACAATGTGGCACTGACTGAAAAATATGACAACAGCTACACATTTCCCATAAATCTGGTTCTCATTCACCATGAACATAAGATGGCGCTTGCTCAGGCTTCTAGGACTTAAAGCTGCAGCCGGGAATTCCTCAGCTACATATAAACTAACTGTAAGCCTGTATCGGACATGGAACAGCAAATAAGGACAGGAACCTGACCAACAGTGTGTTGTGGGTTTCAAATATGTATTAGGCAATTTATCTCTACTCCAAGGCTTAAAACAATTGGGATTTCTTCCACTAAAAACTAAATGGTCTTTCCTTAATTCTGTATTTAATTTCCACTACTTATTTGATTTTTTGTAATACTGCCAACACACACAAATTCCTAATGTGGAACATGAAATCATGGATATATACCTCAAAGGTATTTAGTGGAGCTAACTGAGCCTGCATTTGCACTCTTCTGATTACATTTCTTCATCCAAGCACCAAGGGGACTCAGAGGCACAATGGGATGAGCGGAGCGCCCTGAAAGGCTTTCTTCCCTTCCTGAAATTTTAAGGCCACAGCACAGAAATACAACCCTGAAAAGGCTGGGGAAGAGACAAAGGGTATGAATATTCGGCTCTCAAGGATACTGGACCGCTAAAAGGACAGAGGCCTTACTTAAAAAGAGTGGGGATGGGGTATGAGGGAAGGAGAAAAAAATTTGGGGGGGTCTACCTTTAATCTCCTGAGGTAAGACTCCTTACAGAATCATATTAACAGAAGCTAATACAAGTCGGAAAAGTTACCCTTATTTTCTGGAGGAGGAGAGACTCTAACACTTCTTGACAATTCTGAGACATCTCCACCAGTTCCTTCACCCTCCTCTGTCAAATGTTTTCTGCATTAGAGGTAATGGCTAATTATCTGTAATGATTTAGGCACACAGTCTAGTCTCAGCATGGTTCTGGGCTTTACTGCTCAAGGAAATGTAGATGTTGCTCTATATATTTTATTTTTTGCAATGTATAGCTTAGTTAAGCTTAATAATCCAAAAATAAAGATAGCACCTTTAGTGCTGGAATTCACAATGATCCTTGAGAGGACCTCCCCCTCATTTAACCACTGCATAAGCTTAATTGTTACTCCTAATTCATGTAGAGACACTAACAATTGTCTCATTATTAGCTGACCACCACCCTACCTCTATCCTAAGGTACCCTCAAGTCCAGAGGCATGCAAAAAGTATAGTGAGCTCTTGTCATTTTCTGTCTTTGAAACATCATCCTCTTTTTTCAACATGACACCCTACATTTTTCCTTTGGGGATCCACCCCATTCTCAGTCCATGTGTTCAGAAGAGGATGGCCTCACCCACCAGCTCCAGGAATGAGCATATGAATCTGGCTTGGCCAAAAAGAATGCAGCATACTCTGGCCAAAGTGACTGATTGAAGAGTAGGCACAAGACCCTAACAAGGCCTATCAGAATCAAGGAACACCCAGTTTCAGGCCTTTGGCTGAATCTACAGAAAAGGGAACTCTTTTTTTCCTGCTTGGGTTGTTAGCAGGATAAGAAATAAACCTGGAATTGACATCTCTCCATCATCTAGAAGAGGCCTACCCCGAAACTAAGTCAAGATATAGGAAAACAGAGTTGAGAGATGGAAAGAGTCTTTCCGTTATAAAAAAGCCAATAGATTTCCCTATATTGTGTAAGCCAGTTTGAATGGGCTTTTAAAAACACAACAGAGGGGCGCCTGGCTGGCTCAGTCAGTACAGCAGCAACTCTTGATGTCAGGGTTCTAAGTTTGAGCCCCACGTTGGGTATAGAGAATACTTAAAAATAAAATCTTAGGGACGCCTGGTTGGCTCAGTCGGTTAAGTGACTGCCTTCACCTCAGGTCATGATCCCAGGGTCCTGGGATTGAGCCCCGCATCGGGCTCCCTGCTTAGCGGGGGGCCTGCATACCCCTGTGCTTGCTGCTCCCCCTGCTTGTGCTCTGTCTCTGACAAATAAATAAACTTAAAAAAAAAAATCCTAAAAAACGCAACTGAAAAGAGTTTAAATTAATACAAAGGAGAGGGGGACGCCTGGGTGGCTCAGTCAGTTAAGCGTCTGCCTTTGGCTCAGGTCATGATCCCAGGGTCCTGGGATCGAGCCCCGCGTTGGGTTCCTTGCTCGGTGGGGAGCCTGCTTCTCCCTCTGCCTGCCACTCCCCTTGCTTGTGCTCTCTCTCTCTCTCTCTGACAAATAAATAAAATCTTTAAAAAAAAAATACAAAGGAGATGCATCATCTGTACCTCTATAAGAGGTAGAAAGGAAGCAAGGTGAAAGTGAGGAATACAGAACATATGAAAAGATAGGCTCCTTAGACCATAGAGACAAATAAACAGGATTTATGATAATAAATGGCATTATTTCCTCCTTTCTCAATATTATACTGTCACATTACAAAAAGAAGCTAGGAGCGCCTGGGTGGCACAGTCCGTTCAGTGTCCAATGCTTGGTTTCAGCTCAGGTCATGATCTCAGAGTCGTGAGACTGAGTTCCATGTCAGGCTCCACACTCAACTGTAGTCTGCTTAAGACTCTCCCTCTGCCCCTCCCTGCGGCATGTATGTGCATTAAGATAAATAAATAAATCTTAAAAAAAAGTTAGCTTCCCATTACATTTTATCTGTATTAATAGGACGTATAACTTTCTACATTGCATCCCTAATGCAGACCTTCTACCTTGCTAGACAGCAAGCAATTTGAGTACAATTTCATATCTGATTAGTTTTTCTTCTGTGTCCCGCATTGTACATCACAATCACAGAATCCCCAAAAAATATTTATTTAATGATTCAATCTTACATGTCATTACTCCTGACCTCCTTGTAAGCACTCACGATCTTCCTTCAAGGTAAGGGCTTTACTATGTGTCTTGGGTTGCAGTAGCAGGTCAAGCTTCTGGGCCAGACACTTGTGGCTCTCTGGTATCTCAGGATGTGTAGAATAGAGAACGGAAATAAATCTCTTGTCATCTCTGCTATACGTCTTTTTGAAAAACAAAAAAGTTTCTGCCTACCTCACTAAGTTCATCTTTCTCATATGAACTTCAAATCTGTGCACAAACTACTTTCATAGTCCAATACTGTGTAACCACTTTTAAAAAGTTTCACCAGAAACGGAAGAATGATCACTTGATGGGAACCTTTGCGGAGATGTCAGGATACGTTCAATGGTCTCACAAATATAACAGTACCTAGCTACTACCCACTCCAACAGGTTTGATAAAATAAGAACCCTGATATTTTGTTTTAATATTCAATGTCACCAATTACTTATAATCTCCTATTTTCAACTGCCGTACAGAGATACAGCACCATCCTGTTGTCAGCTTTTGGGATGGTGCCACCATCAATCCTTAGGAGCTTTTGGATTTGATTACTTTTTTATTTATTTATTTATTTATTTATTTATTTATTTATTTTTTAAGATTTTTATTTATTTATTGAGGGAGAGAGTGATAGAGAGAGAGCATGAGAGGGGGAGAGTCAGAGGGAGAAGCAGACTCCCTGCCAAGCAGGGAGCCCGATGCGGGACCCGATCCTGGGACTCCAGGATCATGACCTGAGCCGAAGGCAGTCGCTTAAACAACTGAGCCACCCAGGCACCTGGATTTGATTACTTTTTTAAAAAAGATTTTATTTATTTGAGAGAGAGAGATCGCACATGAGCACGAGCGGGGGGCGGGGCATAGGGAGAGGGAGAAGCAGACTCCCCTGAGCAGGGAGCCCGAATTGGGGCTTGATTCCAGGACCCAGAGATCATGACCTGAGCCTAAGTCTGATGCTTAACCAACTGAGCCACCCAGGCAGCCCAGATTTGATTCCATTTTAATATGTCCTACTTAAAAACACATTCATTCTGATATACTCGCTGCAAGGGTCTACATCTACAACAGCTATTTACTTCCAGTACTACAATCATCCTCCCCACCCCATTCAATCTTTTGTTTATGAACAGTACTGTTAATCCCTAAGGACCACTGTCAGCCTTTAAAGAGGTGAGCACGCAAATGTTTTAATATCAGACTTGTTATTGCTTTTAGGAAAATATGTAGAATACTTCGTAAAATTGGACTGGCAAAACTCAAGCTCTGTTAAACCATACTTTTTAAGGTCTCTGTCCTGGTGAGACATTAAACCAAAAATGAATTACGATATTTTCATTGCTCTATGTTCCACGCCAAAATTCTTTCAAGTCCCGCTAAAGTGGCAACAGATCCTAACAACACATCAACAAGCTAGAAGGATCTCCTCGAGTCAAAAAGCCAACAGCATTCTTTCCTGGGTCCCATTTTATCTCAGGAGGGTTCCCATAGGAGACCAAAACAGTGAGACTAAACGAGTCCTTACTCTGGGAGCGAAAAACTGATCCCAAAGAGAAGACCCATCAAATATAAGCTCCAGAGCTGCGGTTACTCCATCTTATTTGTGTCTTCTACGCCCTATATTCGTGAGGGAGCACGAAGCAGAGTGCCAGGGAGAGTTTTGAGTAGTGAACTGATCACCTGCCTTAAGAAATGTCAATTATCTTGCCATATGTATTCAACTGGTTTGACTGCTGCGACTCGTGCTTAATTTCCCATTCTTTGGCATCTGGCTATTTTTTGTCTACGCTTTGCATTTCATCTCTCCAGGTTCCATAAGGGATTCGCCGCGAGGAGGGAGACCCACCCACTCGGCGCTCCTTTCAGAGAAAGGAAGTCAAAGATAATGCAAGGCCAGTATTCTGGCCTTTTTCTGGAGGGGAATGGCAAAAAAGGGGAGAGGTGCCAGAAGCCTGGGCACTGTAAAGGGGTCCCAAATCAGACACGGTCGAAGTTCACGAAGGAGAGAATCAAGGGTCAGGAAAACACAGGAGAAGGAATTTGGAGGCAAGAGTGCAGAGACCTGGAGTGGCATTCAACTAGGAGAAGAAAACCCCATCGCAGACTCAACGATCCCCTTCCGTCAAGCTATTCCCTCTCTTACCAGAGCCTGAAGGGCCAGCAGCGACGACACGACAAGTCTTAGTGGCCGAAGGATTCCCACTTCCGACTCAGCACAGCAACCGGAACTTACATCATGACCAGGCGCCGGGCCTTGTGGAATCTTATCCGAGCGCCGGAAACAGGGTGTGCCGCTCTGCGCGGGGAACTGGCGCGCAAACACCTCCACGGCGCACGCGCTAGCTAGCTGGGCAGGGCGGAGGTGGCCGGAAGTGGCCTTGGGCTCCGGCCGGGGCGGGTCCGGGGTGGGTCCGGGGCGGGTAACTGGCGCGCAAACACCTCCACGGCGCACGCGCTAGCTAGCTGGGCAGGGCGGAGGTGGCCGGAAGTGGCCTTGGGCTCCGGCCGGGGCGGGTCCGGGGCGGGTCCGGGGCGGGTCGGGGGGGCGGGTCCCGGGAGGGTTGGCGGGGCGGGAGCATGGGGGTGGTTGGTTTGGAGCTTGGTGAAAAACGAGGTGGGTTTTTACATCGAAAACGAATGATGTGGGCGCCTGGGTGGCTCAGTCGGTTAAGCGACTGCCTTCGGCTCAGGTCATGATCCTGGAGTCCCGGGATCGAGTCCCGCATCGGGCTCGCTGCTCAGCGAGGAGCCTGCTTCTCCCTCTAACCCTACGCCCTTTCATGTACTCTCTCTCTCTCAAAATAAATAAATAAATCTTTAAAAAACAAACAAAAAAACCCCAAAAACGAATGATGTAATGTATGGTGATTAACATAACAATAAGAAATTTAAAAATAATAAAATAAAAAACGAGGTGGGTTTTGAAATCTGGTGTATAGCCGGAGGCTATGACTTGGTGACCCTTGGCGCTGCTGGCAACCTCTGGGTTTTTGCTTTCTGTTTTTCCCACCAGTGTCATGCCTTTTTGAAGCAGCTTCTGTTACTCTTCATAGATTATTATATGAGGCAACAACAACAGCAATAACGATGACAGAAAGTTTTGAGGTCTTACTAGGTGTCAGGCAGTGTGCTAAGGTGTGCTAGTGTTGGATTTCAGTTTTATCTGTAAAGTGGTGACAACATGCATGCTACAAGGTTACTTTGAGGTATACAAGGGCAGTGAAAGCAGCATACTTTTCCAGAGTGCAAGTGAAGGGGCGCCTGGGTGGCTCAGTCGTTAAGCGTCTGCTCTCGGCTCAGGTTATGATCCCGGGGTCCTGGGATCGAGCCCCGCGTGGAGCAACCCCCCCCCCGTGGAGCCCCGCGTGGAGCCCCCCCCCGTGGAGCCCTGCGTGGAGCCCTTTGTGTTCCCTCTCTCGCTGTGTCTCTCTCTGTCAAATCAATAAATACAATCTTTAAAAAAAGTGCAAGTGAAAAGACAATTCATAGAATGAGACAAAATATGTGTAAGTCATATGTCTGATAAAGGATTAATGTCCAAAATATATAAAAAACTACAACACAACAAAAAACACAGTGATTCAAAAATGGGCAATGGACTTGAATAGACATTCCTCCAAGGAAGATATACAAATGGCCAATAAGCACATGAAAAGATGCTCAGTGACACTAACCATTAGGGAAATGCAAATCGAAACTGCAATGAAATTATACCTCACATCCTTTAGGAAGTCTATTATCAAAAAAATGGAAAATAAGTGTTGGTGAGGAGGAGAGATAAGGAACCCCCTTGGGCATTGCTGATGGGATTGTAAAATAGTGCAGCACTTTGGGAAAATTTTGGTGGTTCCACATATAGTTAGACACAGAATTACCATATGACAGCAATTCCGCTTCTGGGTATACACCACAAAGAATTGAAGGCGGGGACTCAAACAGATACTTGTACACCAATGTTCATAACAATATTATTCATAATAGCCAAAAAGGGGAAACAACCCAAAATGTGCACTGACAAATGAATGGATAAACAAAATGTGGTATATACATTGACTATTATTTAGCCTTAAAAAGGCTGAAATTCTAATACATGCTACAACATGGATAAACCTTGAAAACATTATGTTATGTGAAAAAAGCCAGACACAAAAGGACAAATATTGTATGATTCCACTTATATGTGGTACCTAGAATAGGCAAATTCATAGGGATAGAAAAGAGGAATAGAGGTTACCAGGGGCTGGGGGAAGGGAAGAATGGGGAATTATTGTTTAATGAGTACAGAGGTTAAGATGATGAAAAAAGTTCTTGAAATGGTTGGTGGTGATGGTTGCACAGCATTGTGAATATATTTAAAGCCACTGAGTAGTACACTTAAAATGTTTAAAATGGTAAATTTCATTTATGTATACTTCACCACACACATATACACACACAGAGCTCTGTGCAATCTTTGAATGCCTGTCTTGTTCCAGCATTATACGAGTTTCTGAAGATATATTAGTAAAAAATACACAAGTCTTTTCCTTCCTGGGGCTTACAGTCTGGTGACCGTGTAACACCATTTAAAATCAATGGGAACAAAATGGATCATTCAAAAAATAGTTCTGGAATGGTTGGGTAGCTATGCGGTGTGAAAGTCAGTCAATATGTTAGGCCTTTACATTAAAATTAATTCAAGATGGATCATTCATTTAAATGTATAAAATGAAACCATAAAAATGTTAGATTCATAGGAAAACATTTTTTTTAAAGATTTTATTTATTTATTTCACAGAGAGACACAGAGAGAGAGGGAACACAAGCAGGGAGAGTGGGAGAGGGAGAAGCAGGCTTCCTGCTGAGCAGGGAGCCTGATATGTAGGGCTCGATCCCAGGACCCTGGGATCATGACCTGAGCCAAAGAGAGATGCTTAACTGACTGAGCCACCCAGGCGCCCCTAAAAGAATAATCTTAAATTGGGGAAGACCTTTCTAAATAGGAAACAACCTAGAAGCCATAAAAGACCAGTGAATTCTACTATATGCAGATAAATAAAATGTACATAGAAAACCAATCATCATCAAGTCAAAGAACAAATACCAAAATTGGAATAATATCTGCAACTAATATCATAAACAAAAGATCTAGTTTCCCACATATGTAAAGGGCTGTTGCAAGTCAATAAGAAAAAGATAAAAGGATATGATCCTATTATCACGAGAAGGAAAAACCCATCGTTCACTTCCATTTTTAATAAGGAAAATGTAAATTAAAACTACACTGAGATGCCATTTTTAACTTATCAGATTGGCAAAGTTCAAAAAGTAGGGAGTAAAAGGCACTCTCAGTTATTGTTATTGGGAGTAAACACTGGCCCATCCTCCATGAAGTGCAATTTGGCAATATTTAATAAAATTACAAGTGCAAATACATTATGGCTTCCAAATCTCATTTATTTGTATTTGTTATGAATCGTCATAAGTATGTTCAAAATGACATTTGTCAGAAGTAAATCTACGGAACTTTAAAAACTATAAAAAGGAGACATAGGAGAAATCGTCATGACCTTGAGTTTGTCAAAGATTTCTTCGGCATGACATCAAAAGCACAATCCATAAAAAAAAAAAAGGGTAAAATGGACTTCATCAAAATTAAAAATTTTTGTGCTTCAAAAGTCACCATGAAGAGAATGAAAAGACAAGCCACAGACTGGTAGATATATTTGTTTTTGTTTTTTTTTTTT